AGATAATGGTTCACCGTGAAATTTGGTACTTTAAAGTCGAGTCCCTGAAAATTTGAAAACTCCGTTTAAAATATCGGCGAATCGATAAACCGGCTGCTTCGATTTAACCTTTTCTCTTCGAGCATTATATAAATTTATACGATAGAAAATGATAATATTTATTTGATGTTTCGTCACACGGTTGTGTGACGCAAAAGATAAATATTGTTGTTCAACGATCGGCGAAGATTACTTGGATGTCCGTTGAAAGTAATGAAGAACGTCCGATAAAGACGAAACAATATGATCGAATTTCCAAAGAAACTCTTCCTCGTCCTAAATGATGTTATCCCCAGCTTTTCGCCCAGTAAAATTCGATTATGCAGCTAGTTCGCGAATTACAATGGTAAGTCGCTGGAAATATTACAATAAATTAATGGCCTTGAGAATTAAAGTTAATAACACCGTCACTCCTAAAGTACTTTAATATATTAAGTGCGCAAATTAATTCGGTGCTTTTATCTTTAATTAATCATATAACTTTAAATATCTTCTCGCCGTTTAGTGTTGGCCTTAAAATGCGGTATATAGCTTGACGAAGCTGATAAAATAACCTTACAAAACAGTATCGATGGCGTTCGACAAGCAGCGTATCAAATACTGCATTCTTTTTGCTTCCCAAAAGAAAAAAATGCCGCAAATATGATTTGCTCAGCGTTGATGAGAGGTTAATTTAGGTTGCTGAGGGTGCATAAAATAATAAGTGATACCAAAAGTTTGGTGATTTCTGCCTTGAACCGATGAAGAACGTCCGAGCGCGCCGAAAAATTTGAAGGCGAGGAGTTTGAATAATTGATGAATGAAAATCCCGCTCAGACTCAAGATGAGCCTGCGTTACAACTAGGAGTAGTAACCAATCAATTTCATAAATTGGGAAAAATTTCAAGACTAAGCCGATGGATTCTGCTCAGCCTGGAGAGCAAGCAGTTCGGCACGGAGATGATTTTGTTAACAAGATTATCACTCGACAACACACTTGATCGCAAAATGAAAAACTTTCTGTACAAGATTATCACTCGCGCTGAAAAGTGGGTTTATATATTTAGCGAATTTGTGCAAGACGACGGGCCTTTAAAGGTCTTACGAGGTATTAAAATACACGCGAACGATTCTACCAACTTATGTAAACGTCCTTATCTCTATTTCTGTTGCCTTTAACATGTAATCGGTTTACTTGAAAAATAGCGTGAATCAAATTTGGGGGAGGGGAAATAAAATAAGCGAATCTAAAATCTCTTTCACATTGTCATGAATAAACTGAGTTCATAAAGTCGCATAAAATCAATTTTCAGACGCGATCCTATACATCTAAAAAAATGAATCCTACGAATGATTCCCACTTTGGTGTACAAATAGCGTTTCCGCAACCAAACGGTCCGTGTCGCCGCTTTTTATACATAGACGATTTATATTCCAAGAGGAAGAAGAAGAAAAAATCGAAACGTCATGATGATGTAACACGCGTGTATCTTTATTCGACAAACATTTCATGTATCTACACGCCTATTCTTCTAAATCCATTCGATCGCTTATGTCTTCACCATTTCTTTCTTCCGTTATATCTGTCTTTTCCTCGCGAGTAAATTTATATCATCCGACACAAAGACCTGACCTCTTTCGACGGTACAAAGTGCGCGGGGCGTCGTCGGGGGATGATTCATCCTAGAATTGATGTTCGAAAGAAGAGGTCCAAGTGACGATTTCGCCACAAACGCGAATTTCTCCACAATATAAAGATTCTTGGTACATCTGCATCAGAATATGGTCGACTCAATCTTTTTATGTAAGAGTTAATTTGGTGAACATTATGGCGGAATACACGCGAATGACATCCCGCTTGCTTGCAGGATCATGTTCGTAAATCATATCGAGTATATCACGATAAAGTGTTGCGTGCTTGTTGTATTGTTTTACAACCCTTATAACGGAGTAACGTGTTCGTTTATACAGAAAGGTGAGACGGGCTTTCACCAGTCTGTTAAGATTCATCGATATATATGGATGTACATCGCAAATTACGATGTTAAAAGCGAAGGAACTGTCGGGCAACTCACGTAAATAATTTCTACTTCTCGTGTCTGCGCGAAAAAGCCTTTCTTCTTTCGGAGAGATAGAATCGTTCCGCGAGAGAGCAAGTAACGAATTGAAATATCCGTAATGACTCATTTCTATTATATATATATCATAATATAATTCGAGTTTCTTTGCCGCTCTTTTAATGGATATCGCCGTGGTTCATTAAAGTATCCCTCCTTGTCATCCTTGATTTTCACGACACGAGGAGGAGAAGCCATTAATGCATGTCGATCGATAATACCAGACATTATCGCGGTATCGACTCGGCGATGGACGTTCCTTACCGTTCGAGAATACGAACATGAGCTCCGAGAAACGGTGTTCTCGAAAGAGGCGGAAGACAAGTTAATACTTCAAACAGCCATATTTTTCACGACGCCGCGCGTTCCATTTCTATAGATAAGTAGATTACACGATGACGCAATGCAGTGGCAAACTCAGTAAGATAAATAATGCATAATGAAGCAAAAAGTAGAAGCGGAAGGTTTACTCTCTCCAAGATTTCTAGAGGAGAGACGTCATATTTAATGCAATACGCGAGAGGGGAAATATTGTCCTTCGAAAGCTTCGCCTTCGTAAAGCTTCTCCCTTTCGCTTATTATTCGGAAACTATTGACATTTTGATGCTTCCGTCGGAGAAAAACGACAAAAGCATCGAAATTCATTTTATCGCACGGTTAGCCGTGTCGAGCAAAAGTCGTTCGTGGAAATATTAAAAGGACGCCAAAGTCGAATATTTGTTTTGAGTAGCTCTCTAATTATTCGAGTATTTACATTGTTCGTTTTGAAAAGGTAGATCCTCCTCCTATATATATACATTGGATCTTCCTGATTCCTACAGCATTCAATGGTCCAACATGTGCTGAATGTAAAATTAGTTTTGAAATCTGTTCATCGTTCATTAGAAACAACATTTTTTGCAAAGCGTTCAAACATTATCTATTTATTTTTGGAAGCTTTTCCCAGCTTTCCTGAGTAAATAAGCTTCCTTTCATGAATGTGGTACGACGAAGTACTTGTTGGAATAAATTACGCTTGGCGCGAGTCAAAACACAGAGTTCTTTTCGTTGTTGCATCGGGTGCCATCCGGCGGTATGAACCCGGCAAAATCCAGGCAACCAAATCAACTACCTGTGGATGTAAGTGGCCGACGCGACAGCAATCGGACCTCAGTTGGGTTTCAATAGCATTTCAATTCGGCCTTAATTCTATCGCACAAAACATTGAGATAAATTGAAATAATTTTAAAGAGCGCGTACTATATTAGCGATCACCATCCTCTCTTGAAGGAATAACCGAAATGATCAACCTGAACATTGTGTGTGCAGTATAACAACACGATTTTGTATCACAACCTCCGATACAAAGTTCGCTTGAAATTGATAATCGCAAAAAGTCGGAAGAAGGATGAATGTTGCTGTCCTACTTAGAAGGAGAGAGAGAGAGAGAGAGCGAGATAGCAATGTGAAATTTCGATACATAATATGTAAGCCCTTCATTGTATGCTCATTTACGACGAAAGATTAAGGCAAGCGTAATTGAAAAGGGTGCGTTTCTACTCAGCCGATCTTCCTAACGACCAGAGAGCCACTCTTGCGCGCAGAGAAATTTCCCCGACGAGAAACGCCGAAATCAAAATATTTGCATAGCCTCGATTGGGGCAGCTGGAGCGCACACGGGAAGCGAAATATCAAAGTTTATATCTCGTTACCGGGCGCTCTCTTTATAACGCCCGGAGCGATTCTATATCGACGACCTGCAGATATCTCCGAGAGATTACGAGACACGAGCGAGTGGCGTGTCGTTGGCGCGATTCGTATCGCCTACTTGGGTGGACTAATTTCATTCCCGACGTTGCACAATATCTCGTCCCGTTGTAACCCCGTGGAGCGAGTGACCAAATCGGGATCTAAATCGGTGCCAAACGTGCTTCATAAATTATTCGCATACATCTTGCTTGATGTTAACTCAGTAGCGAGTTTCATCCTCTTCGCTCATTTGTCGAGTGAGATTCTCTCTTGTATTGATCTTTAATGACAGTCCGAGAGATTAGCACGTTCCCTCTACAAAGTGCTAAAAGTTTTATCTTGTCGACGAAGCTTCTTTTATCCACCATTATAACGTTTAATAATGATCGTCTCATAACGTGATTTGCATCGCGCGTTGCATATATATCCTTTTTAAATGTCTCAATTCATTTCACAATAGCCGTTTTAGATTTTCCAGCCAAGTGCAATATTATAGCACTATTACGTTTGATTTTCATTGTCAGAAGAACATATTTATCTTCACGAGATAACGCTCTTAATTACTTGTAGAGATTATGTCGAAACAATTACAACGCTTTAAAACATTTTTATGAATATTACGGAAAAAGCGGCAAATCTAAATAGGGTAACATTTTATTCGCTGTAGAATCTGAAATTTATACTTTTCTCAGTGTAGCGTTCATGGATTTGAGATCAGAAAGTCAAAATTGCTCGAACCACCTGCCTACATGCGGCACGATCGCGGAAGTTCTGGATCACTGTGCGCGAACATTCTTTTATCCGCGGATGGATGCCAGCAAATATATTCGAATTCTTCCTATCCTTCGCGTTTAAACGGAGCAGCATCTAGCAGGAGCGGGATGAGAGGCGACTAAATTCCACGATAAGAGAAACGAGGATGTAGATTGCGGTACGAAACGTCGGCAGCCAAAGCGTTCCGTTTTTATTCTTCAAGAAATAAGAACGCGTCGCATTCTTCGTTTACTACCTCCCGCTAGCTTACTCCCATGCGCTAAAGTAGCTTTCATCTCGCGGCATCATCCCGAATCTCTGTGCATTCGTTCGCAGGAAACATCCACCGTGCCGTGCTGCCTTAAATACGAAAATCGCGTTTTTATTCGACCTCGTTACATAGTTATATACGTGATATGGGATAATATAATACAAAAAAGAAACAGCGAATTAAACATTTCTTTATAATTATCATTCGTTCCATTTTCATGTAACGTTGAGCTAGAAGTGTCGAAACGGGAGAAAAATGGCTAATGGCTCACTAAAATCATTTCCAACGTCTACTGTATCTTCTACCTACAAAATAGTAGTAATATAAAATGTAAAAAAATAGCAATGTGGTAACCATATACATGTACAATAACAATATATGTAAGATTATTAACATTATATAGGAGAACACTTACTTTAAAAATAATAAATTTCCTCTCCATCACCATGCGATTATAGTCACGCACATCTATCACTTTTCCATTCGCAACTTTTTCCGCAACGCTCCATTAAATCTACCGACCGAGAGGGAAACATCTGTCGAATCGTGGTTTCGATCGTACAAACACAAGTGGCCACCACGAGGCGTGTATTACGCAGCACTTAGTCCGTTATCATACTCGTATCAGGACGAGTTGCTGTACGCGTAAATTCTTCGGCTATCTTAATTCGGTTAACAAAGTGATTTTTCATCAATTCTGTTTAACGACGATTAAGTGAAATCGGTGAAAGCGACGCTTCCCGGCGGGAAAATTCGATCGAGCGCGCTCAACAGGGCGATATCGGCACAGCTTTCCGCCGTATCGAAATTCCAGCCGTGTGCACCATTCCGTGCAGGCCACCTTCGTCCTGAAAAAGGAATTCTGGACATCCGTGGTGTAAGTGGTGCACGTGCAAGAGAATACGTACCTCTCTCCGTTGGCGTGGGTCAGTAGACGCAACACAGAACGAGGAGGGGGAGAGGGATGTTCGATCGCGAGGTGGCGCTGGTGCGCGGCACGTGGGGTACTGTTGCCTAGACATCGGGTCGATGCCGGGTGCTGGCGCATGTGCTGCGACTCCCTCCCTACTCGCTCTTTCCCGCACCGTCCTTCTCGTTTTTGCCGATACACCCCTGCAAAGTATCACCCCAATGTGCACCCACCCTTGCGCACAACTACCACGACGACAACAAGTATATGCAGCCAATCTTCCATAGGAATTACTCTCACCCCTTCTCACTCATTCCCCCTTTCTCGTTCTTGGTAAGAGGGGAGAGAGAGAGAGAAGAGTTTACACGCTCGTCGTAACGCCAGGAACGTGGTATCCTGACCAGCTGTTCTCCTTCGATTTTTGCGGGAGTTCCGCTTGCTGTATGTGTGTTACGCCGGAAGTGGCGCGATAAACAGCGGCGAAGTTTGCAAGGAAGAGAGATAAACGGTGCGTAGCACGAGAGGTCAAAGACCGGAATCTCGCTGAACCCCTCTGAACAGCTTCTATCAATCTTTATATTGTGTGTAAATACTCATGAGGATTTAGGGAAAGAAAGTTCCAATCTCTTGGTTTAGCAACAATAAAGTAACTCCGCTTGTCGGTTATCTGTCGGTTATCTGTCGGTTTAGAGAAGTGATAGTGTTAGACTATAAAATACGGAGCGTGTGATCGGTAGTGTGATTATATAAATCACAATTGTTCAAATGTAATGTGAGAGCCATATGTGTCATCTTTTCGGCAAGCATCCAAGGAGAAACGTTCAAGCTTGATTTAAAGTTGTCGAAAGAAGTCAATTGATAGTTTGCAAAATACATCTTCCTAACTAAGGCGAACGAATATTTCGCATCGTTCAGAAGTAAACGAAATATTTTCATACCGTGGCGGCCATTGATTAGCAATAAAGGATTCGGCATACGTAAGAAATACGGCTTACACAAATTTTGTCACGGAAAGCAGCCAGGGGGGGGGGGATTTCCCGGTCCTACGCCACTGATATCGACAGCACGTTCGCCGTGTCACGTACGCACAACCACAACGAGCGACTTGCAGGAATCGAGAACCGACATCAGCACTCTCGAGGGGTAGCTGTGCAACCCCATCAGCATCACCAGCAGTATCAGTAACGGCAGCGCCATCACTCGATTCCGCCCGTAGGGGAGTCGCAACGGAGGGACGCCGGGGGTGCTGCTGACTAGTCGCGGTGAAGGGGAAGAAGGGATGGTAACGCGGAGCGGCAGCGCCACCGACTAAACAGTCGCACCCCGTCGTCGCCGTCGTATTGGAGGCCACCCCCTGTCACTGGCGAGAGCCGCGACAGGGAGCGACCGAAGGAGTAACGTACGGTTGGTCGGTCTCGCGAAGTGTTGAACAAATTCCGCACGAGTGTGGGAACATACACACGGCGAAAAGAACACCCTCTTCAGCGAACGGTCGAGAAGATCGTCTTGAGGCGCTGGCTGGCATGGTGGCGGTGGTGCATCCGTTTAAGGAGCCGCCCTCGCCGCGCCGATGACGAGGCTGCAGATCCCGCACCACCAGCGCGTACCACGTAGGACGAAGACGAAGACGGCCAACGAACCATCCAGCCGAGACGGTCTCATCCGGTCCGACAGAGCGCAATCACAGACGGCCGGGCCGGGCGACGGACGGGCGCGACGTAGACGTCGACGTCGCGACGACGACGACGACGACGACGACGACGTTCGCGATACAGTAGCCGTCATAACTGCGGTCGTCAATTGTGGTGCGCTTGGTGCTGTTGGTGAGCGTGTCGGTGCGCGGTGTCTCGCCCCGTCGTCGTCGACCGAACCATCGTCAGAGCGCAGGACAACGAAACATCTCCATTATGCCGCGCTGTCTCATGGCGAAAAAGTGGAAGGCCTACCCATGGCCGGATCGCGTGGACGATCAGCAAGAACAGCAGGAGGCCCTTCTGCAAGATCAAGCGTTGGACCAGACCGCCATGGAGAAGCGGCAGCACAGGCATGAGCCCGAGGACGAGGAGATCGACGTGGTCGGGGACGTCGATAACCATCGGATCGACCATCAACAGACTTGTTGGGGGCCGCACAGTCCCACGGCGGGAGCTACAGCCCCCAGTCCGCCGCCCCTCAATGCTTCCGGCGCTCTTTATTATCACGGTGAGTGATAACCTTCTCTCGGTTAGATGCGCCACGCCCAAAGAAAAGTTGGCGCTCTCATTTCCTTTGAGATCCCTATATTAGACAGCCGCTATAGATAAATATTCCCGGTTAAACGCGTCCGGCTGCTTAGAAAACCGCTTCGCACAATTATGGCAGCGTTTCCGCGACCTGTGGGAAACCGCCCACGATGTCGGCCATGTGTCGCATATGTACGTATATAGGCGACACACCCGTTTCGACGATCGCTTTCGAGTTTTAATTGTGATACGGCCGGCGGTCGGTCACGGAATTAGCAGCATTAACGATGGCTTGTTCAACCGCGGTGGAAATGTGCTTCAATGTGTTTCTGTGATGAACGCACACGCTTGAGAATCTGAGTTGATTGTTCATACGCAACGCGATGTATGTTCACTTGTAGACACGTTACGTAATAGAATAAGACATTTCTTTCATCAATTTTATATCGCTTTCGACAAGACGAGTTAACGGTCATTTTTAGCTCTTTTTTTTTTCTTATTCAAATTAAATTATCACCAATAATTAGGAGATTCTTTTTCCAAGAAAGCTGAAAAGACGATGCAAATAATATATTTCCGCCAATTTGAACTTTAAGAGTTTCAATGATATTTATTTTAATAAAACACACCCAAGGAGCCGAAAGCGATGCTCAGATCGATCGTCTATAGATATTCTCGAAAGCTAGGATTAACAACCTTTATTCGTCTCATTTATGCTGCTTATAGGCAATAAAGTGTGCATGAGTTCGTGCAATGGAGCAAATAGCGTTATGTGACAAGTGTTACACTCATCGCCACAATGTGTGCCGTAAAGCAATGACGATTGAATTTTTTCCAATATATTTTTGTAGCGCTAAATTCTCTTAAAATGTGCAATCGCGCATTTTGAGATATTTGCTGTCCTTACGTTAGCTTATTCAATTGACTTTCTAACTTATTAAAATGTAATTTTATATTTAATAGATATTTTTTTCAAACTATAAAATCATACAGTAAAGGGTGTTTCAGCACGCACATCTTAATGTTTGAAATATTTGTCACATATGAGATATGACACAGAAGAATAAGGAAAGCAAGTCATTTGTTTTAACTTTCTGCATGTATAATTGATACATCATGACAGAGATTAACGGGGTAATAAATTACAGTCAGGCGAGAAGAAAAATCTGTAAGAACACATGTCCATTGACAGGTTTCTTTGTCCTTGACTTTCGTGCGAATAAAGCGCGCGATCGGTCTTTACTCGCTCAATAACACAATGCATTATTATAAGATGTTTCTCTCCGTGATCATCCATGAAAGGTAGAGAGAAAAAGCGGTTAATAATATTTTCTACGCAAGTATAAGTAATGGATATATAATTCTATACAAATAAAAATTCTATATAAATAAAAAATGGATATATAACAAGTATAAGTAAGGAATATATAATTTTTTTTTTTTTCAATTAGGTGGTTCGATAGTCCAAGTATAATTGTTTATACTTACCATTTCTTTTGCGCTCACAGGGTCGATAAAGATCAGAGGCGATAAACCTACAGGAATATGCGGAATGTTCATTCAAGGTATATAAATATGCTATATGGGCTATATATCTGTGATCTGTAATTTAGATGATGTAGATATAGAGAATCCACCTAGAAATCATAGATAATTCATGTCACTTTACACCGTGTAATAATAGTTTTTTCGTTACCGCGTCAGCTTTTATTGTCATTCGACATATAAATACGCTCGGATACTTTGGATAAAATTGTGTTCTTCAATGTGTAGTAAGTCATATCTCCCGTGCAATAACGTCAGTGCAAAAATAGCGAATCTCTATTATCTTGATATATGGATTACGATACTGTAAAATATTTGGTTAATTTTTCGAAAAGAGTCATAAACAATCAACAGATAATTAGTTTCGCTCTGTTTTAGCCCTACTTTTATAGCGCATTTCGCCGCCATCTTCCAATCTTTGTGACGAAAAAATAGAAGACGGAAAACTCGACGTTAACGTTAATCGCAATGGAAATTTTTATCGGCCTTTGAAAGGGCTTAGAATCAACGGACTCGTGGGAGCGCACGCGGAGCGTTCATTCGCCGTTATTGATTCCCCCCTCCGTCCCTATACGACCCTTCTTCGCCCCCTTTTCCAACACAACTGCGTTCCTTCTACTGTTGATGAAATGTACTTGCAGACGCCCTTCTTTACGTCCATGTGTTGACTTCCTTTTATTTCAGCCAATAATAGATACGCGCCAGCTGATCGATCGCGAGAGTAGCACACTTTTTCTCATTTATCGCGCTTTCTCATAAGATCGTCTCTCGACGAATCTGATATCACTGAAACTTGTATGTACTGATGGAAGATACATTTTACGCATATGACCAACTGAATCGAAAGAATTTATCCCCTTAAAAACTTTTGCAAATACACGTTGTGTATATGAAATAATTCTCGAATTACACAAGAGCGTAATTCAAGAAGGACGCGACGCTCCTTCATTTTTTTCCGATGGAAATCTCATTTTATTATTATAGGCGAAAAACTTTTTTATTACTTACTCTACAGTTGATATTTATAATTAATAATTATGGTAAAAGAGTTAATATATATTTACGTTTCTTATGAAAAATTGTTACTTTTTACGAAGAAAAAATTAATTATCTTCACTTATACGCGCAAAAAGACTCACTCATATATTTTTAGCGTTTCGATTGAGATTGCATGCGTCTAACGCTCAGCAAACGTTCAAATCAGAGAGATAGGAGAACTCTCATTAATTGCTCTCTACGTGTAGCAGTGTGCTTACGGCACGGACTTTCGCTTTACGTAACTCGCCGGACGGCACGCGTATCGATTTCACGGCGCAAACGTCGAAAGTCATAAGTTGCGTGTTCTATCGCATTGTCAGGAGTAATAAAAGAAACACGAATTTAAACAGCAACTAACTAATAACATTCGAACGTAACAAATCGCAAGTAACGATGCGACAGGAGTCGAAAGCGTTTGGAAACGCGTTTTGGAAACGATTTGTATGATTGAAATATGTAGAAAGATCTTGTTTAAAATTATATTGTTGCAATCTTTTCCCGTTCATTTAATATTGCTTAAACTGGTCTATTTACCTCGTAAACACGGACAATCCAAGAAGTAACATTTTCACCCACCAGCGATTTAATAAAATAATGACGTTTAATCGAGAGAGGGGAAGGGACATCTTAATACGTACACAAGTAGCTCGGAAATGTGTTGAAAAGATTCGCGAGGCGCTGTATTCCGACTGGAATTCGCTCGGTATTTTTTGGTCTGGCGGAGAACGACGCGAATCTCGCTCTTCAGCCTGAACCGCAACAGATCCCGTTATTATATCCCCCGACGCACCTTGCACTCTTTTTTTGCCATTCATTTTTCTTTCTCCCCTTTGTACCCGTTAATGACTGCGTATATGGCGAAAACAGCTGGCGCACAGGAAATGAAACGCCACGCAACTCGCGAGTGAATCATGAATTCAAATATTCATGTAGTCGAAAACGAACAATAAGAGATGTTACGTACGCGCGTACTTTATCTCCTCGACGTTATGTTATTGGTGCATTTCAATGTAAGAAAAATCTCTTGCGGAGATTACTCATACGAACTAGATAATGTTGTACTGCAAAATGCATAGCGATATGTATACATATACAGGATGCCCGATAATCTTCATCTTTGAATCCGTGGTGTGCAGGTAGAACGGATTAAACTGAATAGGAAAATCACGTACCATTTAGCAAAATTTGTAATAGTTAATGAGTATACGGGGAGCGGGAGGCTGTATAAAGAAAAATGACCGACTTCTGAAGATGTCCCAGCAACAATGGATAGATATGGAGGAGAAAAGGTGGTGTTATGGGTGGGCCCCCTATTTTGTATAATAACTTTAAATAACTTTGTCAACAATCAATATTTTTAATCGAGAACTGTATGATCACATTCGTGTTGTTTAATCAATTTTGTTAACCAGATTTAAAAGTGTAAGATATTTATTACTTAGGAAGTTATTTATAAAAATGTAGCGACACTAGGCGGGTTGAAAAGAAACAGAGCCGGTAATGTGGCCACCAACTAAAACAGATTTAAAAAATTGAGTTTATTTAAAATAATGCAGTGTTTTGTTACAATTTTATATGTATTCAAAGTAAACTCTGAAGGAGGAACGAGAATTTGTAATGTGAACTTGTCAGAAGATACAATCTCTCAAAAGGGCAATAGTGCAGACAGAAGTGCAGTGAACTATCGAATAACTGCTCCGATATGGAAACCTCATAAAAGAAGTCGTATCATCAAGATTTTTAATTAGCAAAATATTTGCATAACTCGAAGTTTGTACGGCCGAACGATATAAACATTTAAATATATATATATATATATTATTAATTCAGAAATGTTATTTGCCAAATGGTACAAGACTCTGTTGTTCAGAGTGGCTTAACGTATAGCTGTTGTGGCAACTTTGAATATCGAAATTTGGTACAACAGCTATCGTATACTGGCAAGCTACTCTAAACTTGGAGTTATTAATTAAAGCCATTTTCAATAATATCGTTTGCAAGAGAACTGGCAGAGAAGTTAATCCACGCGGCTCTGAGAGTGCATATACACGCACGCAGATCACAACCTACCTTAATCCGCACATTTTCCTTCCAGGCTACACACACGAAGCTTGGATCAACCACGAAGAGCCACCGAAATACGCGACGCTACGCTCCGCGGCGGAGTTGGCGCGTCCAGTAGCGCCCTCGCCGCCACCGCCACCACCAACAGCTCCGATCGTGGAGCTGGCGGTACTGAACGGCGGCACGGCGGGGCTCCATCAGACGTCTCAACAGGCTGCCACGTCTTCGTCGTCGCCTCTGAGCCTACCGCCGCGCAAGAGCCTGTCGATGTGTTTCACCAGCACCGGCACGGCGTTGTCCTTACCTCCGAAGAAGAAGGATATCTACCGTCCTTACAGCCTGCAGACGATCTCGGAGATCCGCACGTCCGCCGAAGAGGACCTGTCGGCCGCGCAGGCCATCCTAGACCTAAGTGCGTCGCCGGCCGCGCCCACGCACTCTGTTTTCATTCACACTCTGTCGCCGCCACCGCCACCACCACCACCGCCGCCGCCGCCACCTCCGCCGCCCGCTGCGCCGGAACAGCAGCTCTTACAACCAGTGACGACGACGCAGCCTATTCCGGTGTCCGTGCTCGTGCCGGTACCCAGCTCGCAGACCAATCAGCTACGCCAGCAGGAGCAAACGCCGCCGCAGTCGCCCACAACCGCGGAGACCAACAGCAGGGACAGGTGAGTCTCGAGATGCCTCCCTTCAATCGAGTAGTTCGTCTCTTATGGAACTTATGCTGAGAAAATTCATTCCGTCTAATGTAAAAGTCAGCAAGAGAGAGACAGATCATTTCTTCCGACAGCACCAGCAAGACTGTCGCTTACACCTACGAGGCCTTCTTTGTGTCCGACGGCCGATCAAAGCGGCGTGGCAGCGGCAACAGCGGTGCCGCTGTGCCCGACAAGGAGGCGGCCCAACCGGACAGGCCGAAATTCACGTGCACCGAGTGCGGCAAGCAGTACGCCACATCGTCGAACTTGTCGCGGCACAAGCAGACCCACCGCAGCCTCGACTCCCAGTCCGCGAAGAAGTGCATCCACTGCGGCAAGGCGTACGTCAGCATGCCCGCTTTGGCGATGCACGTGCTGACGCACAAGCTGGCCCACAGCTGCGGCGTCTGCGGCAAGATGTTCTCGCGGCCCTGGCTGCTGCAGGGTCACCTGCGCAGCCATACCGGCGAGAAGCCGTACGGTTGCGCCCACTGCGGCAAGGCGTTCGCCGACCGCTCGAATCTGCGAGCGCACATGCAGACGCACTCGGCCGACAAGAACTACGAGTGCTCGAGGTGTCACAAGACCTTCGCCCTCAAGTCCTATCTGAACAAACATCTCGAGTCGGCGTGTCTGCGCGACGAGGAGATGCAGCAGCACGCTGCTAATAACGCGCCCACGCAACAGAACACCAATCGAGGCTTGTAGCAGCGCTTCGAAAAGGAGAACGAGGAGCCGCAAGAGAGCTAGCGGTGCTCCGTCGCTTGAAGGTAGGAAGAACGAAGAAGAGGATATAAGGTTTGCCGTAGATTTTAAGTAGAAAAGTGCCAGTAGAGAGAAATGTTAGAAAGGGAGACAGAGAGAATGAAGAATCATGCGTTTAGAAGGAAAGAAAGGGAGCAAGAAAGTGGGAGAGCGTTCGAGTCTACCAAATAATGTCTAACATTAATAAAAACGTCCAGTAATGATAAGTCGTAAAAAAAAAAAATGAGAAAGGAACACGTCGAACGGTGACGACGTCCACACTGCAAGTCTAGTCACTCTAGTCGATTATACTTATTATATTATATATTATTATATTATATTATTATTATTATTATTATTATTATATATAGTATATATATATTTACTATAGCGCGTACGATTCTAGTCCGCGAGTTCGTTATGAAGACACTATTTATGAATACTTAGCTGCCTAAAATTAAAACAGGGAGTAGATTCACGTGTCGGATCGATCCGCGCTGCTCGAGATCACGATGCGATCTCGATCGCATTCAGTGCGCCTCGTGATCGATTGCCCTATAGCATCGAGAGTAACGCGCAGGTGTGACCGATGATGGCTCAATAACGACTTATGACAATTCCAAACGTCTTATTTGGAAAATATGTCAAGTTGGAAGACGTTTTAATAACAGAATCTTACATGGTCGCTGAATCGACGTAATGATGTTTTGCAATTTTTTTGGGACATTTTATAAAGTGCCGGAAAGAAGGAGATATTTTTGTCATCTATTTATCTTCGTTATTTATTTATTGTCAATCCTTTAAATATTTTTTTATCGGCGATCGAGGTCAAGATATGTTAGCGAATGGATGCCACGCGGCTAATTACTATTTAAATAATTCCCGTCGATCATTTCAAGACAATTCCAAGAAAAAGGCAGGAGAAGAAAAGGATTGTTCGAAAGCGTGTAATAGAAGCTTGTTGATAATCCATTCAGGCTTGAAACCAAAAAAACTAGTCGGAGTTATTTATCTCTAACGAATGCACTGACGAGCCGACAAAAGTCTTCAACCGCACGCAATCTCGTCGGAATTGTTGTTATTTTTCCTTCCTCTTTTCGATTGTTTCACATTGGGCTGATTCGCACACCTGCGTGTCTCGTGCGACTTACGCGTGCCGCTATAGATGGCTCGGTTTAGTCATGAGGCCTGCACGACGATACCGGCGGAAATGCTATCCCAAAGCCGTGCATGTAAAATATTCGGGAACATTCGCGAGTCGACCGGTTATAATCGTGCACACGCGTATACCGCGTAAAACGAATTCACCACGTACTTAGAAAAAATTCAAATAATAGACGCGTAACATTGTTATACACACACACACACACACACACGCACAACACACATATTTTATAGAAGCAATATAACAAAGAAAATAAATAAGACGACACGTCAAAGCAATGTTTCGACACAACGAATTATATACTTATACATATAGAGGCGAACATCTGAAGTTTAACGAACGCGAACCGATGATGTGCTTAAGCATGGAAAATGATCGCCCAATCCACACCGCCTGTGATTTACGTTTCGTAGATCGAAGATGGATTTCATAGGAGGAAAGGAAACAACGTCAGATTGTTGTCGAATAATTTCAAGTGCCATGATGCGCATCTCCTCACGCGATTGATCGCAAAATGATTATTCTCCATCTAACAATATTCTTTAGGTTTTTATTTTACAGTAATATATATATATATATATATATATACATATATATATATATATATTACTCGATGAAAAACATTAATAAAAAGTACTTTATCGTACTGAAGATTGTAGGAGATTTTCAAACAGGTAATATTGTTATTGAGCTCAATGTCACAGTCTTTCTTTATTATTTAGCCGAAATTCGTTTTTAAAGTGGACATTCTTCTTTGTGATGAACTAATCGGTATGTATTTTATTTAAGCTAGATGCAAATGGCCGATACAGCTTGGAACAACTGCTGTAAATAATTCACTCTAATGCCAAAACGGCTCATTTGCAAATATTGGTTAATTGACAGAAATTATTTGTTTTGTTGTTCTTTATAAATACTTGAAATTTGTTGGCCCAATTTTGGGAAACCCTATGTATAACACATCACGCGGTATATTTATTTAGCTTTACTATTTATTAATTTATATGTTAGTAGCGTTACACAACAATAATATAAATTGCTTCTATTGACATACTAATTGATATTACTCGTGCAAAATACTAATGTATCTCGTGTAACGCATTTCGTTGATTACGCAGATTGCATTCGATATTTAATCACTTTTACGAAAAAAAAAAGATTAATAATATCGCGCGCGTGATAAAATATACGTCGCGCAGATGATGTTGATGATGAATTTGCTCTCTTTTTGTAAGCGCGATCAGGCGAATCGACGATTATTGATTTTTTTCGTAAGAACTCGATCAATGAACTTTCCCAAAATGCAGCAAAATTGATCGTAAATTACGGCACGTTATAATTATTATTTTCGCAGATCGACGAACGTAATCAGAAGGGGTGTGGAGCTTCAGTCGCCTGAAAGAAGATCCCGATTAAACTAACGATATGTAATTATGACGCGGGTGGCGAACGCGTGGGCGATCCGCCCGATACTTTGCAACGATCATTATTAACGAGACGCGATATAAAAGTATTTTGCATGTACAGCTAGAAAGAGAGAGAGAGAGAGAGAGAGAGAGAGAAAGACCCGCCAAAAAAACAGAACGAACAATATTTTTCGCGTAGCTCATTTGATCGGATCGATTCTTAGGATCGAGCCGTAATTGCTTGACGCGTGCTGGAGTTCGATGGAGCTCGATAGAGCTTCGCTCGATATTTTAATTCCATCTTGCGCCAGCCATTAAATAGATCGCCACGCTGCTATTAAAATGCATATATTAACGTATAAATATATACGGCGCTCTAGAGCAATAAATGATTAAACAATACTAATTTATTCGTGCAGCACACAACGAAAACCCGCGGTATTACATGCCGTTCGTTTGATTTGCGTCTTGCAATTCTCTCGGTTACTTTTTTTTTTCGTTCACATATACGACTTTTTTTTTCGTCACGCGAATTTTTGTTATCACATTTGTATATTTGCATTCATTGCGCTTATTTCCTTTCTTCATTTTCTGTGAACAATGTAAAAATATCGTTACTTTTAATGTATGCGTAATACCGTAATTATCTTTGGTAGTTCAAGTAATTATTTGTTTTGATATTTATTAATGAAATATATGAACATTATCATTAGCATTATTAGTTTGATTAACGCAATTATTATTACTTTGTAATTTTTCTTTACATTATTATCATTATTATTATTATGCTAGTACAACGATTCGATACAACGATCGATATCTATGTGTGTTATAAAAATTAAAAAGATGTGCAATTATTATTGTGTTTTGTAAAAGGAGACAGCGTTCCGAGCTACTTTATACAAGGTAGTATAGTTGTTAGCCGATAACACTTTAACTTCCAGGTGGTAATATATATTATATAGTGTACATACACACACGCGTGAGAATAGAATGTCCTCGCTGGAGACAGAGGTAAATCCCGAAGCAATCCATGACTCTTTGCTAAGAGAAATATAAGGAAGTAGTCAATGCTGACAGAATGTTAGCCATTCTATTCGATTCCACAGAAATTGCTCACTACGTTCTCGTCTAACTTCTATATAATTAATCTTAGATGGTATTTTTTCACAATACGTTTGTACAGCGCAAACGCTATAACAATACGAAATGAATATTGATAGTCGTGTTATTTTCTTAAGGAAGATCGCGTTGCTTTCGATTTCACCGCCGGTCGTGGGACACTTTGTACATAACAACGATCATATAACTCGTACAGGGAGTGCTCGTCGGACTTACTACTATGAAAAAACAAAGCTTTTAAAGGGAGATCGGAGCATATCCAACCTGTTTTTCTCGCGATTGATAGAACTCGTGTAGAAATTGAACAACTGTGAAGCGCCGAAAAATGTCGGTCGATGGCTAGAGTCGGCGGTGGGAATAGATCGTTGCGTCACCTAGTCAATTTTCTTTACTCAGTCAAATTGTTACTCGATGAGAAAGGATCCACACACCCGTTGCGGAGAGCATTCGTAATTACGGTAATTTATTTTTTTAGCGCATTTTTCAGCGAAGCAATCGCGTTACTGTAGAATGACAAATTTGTGGAGAAGAGATGAAAAAAAAATCATTAAAATAACTTTTTTCTCTCGCCTTTTCTCGAACTAAATAAGAGCGCGACAAACACGCTATGTTTGAATTACTGTTTTAATCACTTGGAATTAATTTTACATCATCTCTGCTGAATATACATTTTCATCGTGCGGAATCATGGAAAGTGTGTGAGTACCGATTCTGCGACATTTGTTTGCTATTGCTATTGTTTATATTTACACGATCGTCGCGTGAAACTCAACCAGATCTTTCAGTCGTCGCAATCTCGGTATTCTTCACTTTCTCCGAACATTCCAAATTAATCGCCATATTTTACATTCCTCATGCTTTTTTCGTGAGTATGCCATTGCCTTAAAAAATGCCAACGGATATGGCCATTCCTATAAAGAATTTTTCAAGCCTTGCCGATAGAATCGTCTCGGTTCAAGCTCAACTCTGTTAAAGTCGATGTTACTTAGATGTGCTCAAAGAAGTGTGTACAAAAACATGAGAGAGAGAGAGAGAGAGAGAGAGAGAGAGAAACAGAGAGATGGACAAAAGAATATAGATAAATTTGGCATTAAATTTGGTATATTTATGATATCCACAGAAATGATTGTGGTTAATAATTAGCAATAGGAGCGGAATAAACCGGGCAAGTGGAATGCGTCTCATAGAGACGCGCTACGTTCTGTGTAAATAATCTTCATCCTATTTTTATTCTCTTTATAAGGCGCGGAAATTATTAACGATAGACGTAA